TGACATCACTTCTGGGTGATGTCGTCGCCTCGCGATGTCCCTGTTTATGGGTGGTGTTTCCCCCTCTGGGCAGCTGGTATGGAGTGGGGAAAAGCCCCTGGACCCGGGGATTCCCCCCGGGGGCTGGCAACCCTACTCCAGTGTGCTGCATGATGGTGGGACAGTCAAAGTAATCATTTTCTTAAGTCCCTGCAATTTATGTAACATTTGGATTATTGTGCCTTTGGTAGTGCATTCCTGTAACTGTAGCTCTCAGGCATTAAACTGAAGCTCCTACCAATGTCTGATTCTGTTTCTTTTCAGGACTTGCCTTTTGATTTTAACCTTTTACCTGGAAGTGAATGCTATTTTGCACCCAGTGACATTGTTACCCACATCCACTCTTCTGCGCCTTGACAAGGTTCCTATCTGGTGGCCCACAGACAACTGCTGGTTGCTAATCGTTCCTTTGTAAGGCCAAGATGACAATCCATGGTTAGTAAGCAATATGTGGCTACCTGGATGGTCATATAGGGTTCTTTTTTCACTGCAGGGGAAGGGGGAAAGAAGCCGTGGGGGAAGCATTTTAATGTTTCTTAGCTGAGTGTTGTCTTTGGGGACCCTGTTGCTCAGCCCAGCATTGCTACACCATTATAGTGTGTGTGTGTGTGTGTGTGTATCTATGTGTATTAAAAATGCAATATGCCATTTGCAGCCCTATCCTACAAATTCTATGTACTTTATTTATGGGAGGGGTCAGTTTCATTTGCATTCACCAGTCATGGGATGGTTTTGCCCTGCGTTGTTGAGCTCCAAGGGAAAGCAGTGGGCCCATCGCAGGCCAGGTCTTGTTGCCCGGGAATTGCCACTTTGCCAGCTGCTGGGAACAAGCTACAGCTGGAGGGACCTGATCATGCCTTCCTTGTGGCTTCTCACGGTTGGCAGTCAGAGGGCTGGACTAGATGGGCTACCTATCATTTTTATCCTGCCCTTCCTCCAAGGCTCTCAGAGTGACATAAATGTTTTCCTCTCTTCCATTTTATCCTCACAACCACCCTGGCGGCTTAGGCTTGTTTGTTTGTTTGTAAGGAAGCAGAATTGTTTTAACCTGAATGTAACAGTTTACTGTAAACTGCAAGATTAACTCATTATATAATGTCCTGTAGTAAATGGTAGTTATTTTACTGTTGCCAGAATGAAATAGCTTTAACAGAAATTCAAAGTCCATGAGCTGCAGTGTTACTATCTGTTAATGCATTTCTTTTTTAAGAATATCCCTAGTTAGAATTCAAAATTGGCCCATGGGCTTGCTTCTCCTTACAATTAACCACTCTCCTTACAATTAACCATTCTATCAATAATGTTCTAGGAGCTCTTACGTGGAAGCAGAGCTCAAAAGTTTACTTCAAGGGGAGATCCATGGGGGCAGTCATATTAAGAATGCGCTAGCCCCAGACCTGAGCACACTACAGAATGTGTACTGCTGGGGGTGGGTGGTTCTTCTTTAATGAAGAATTGAGGGCTCGCATTTACTTTCTAAGGAGAGAGATGCTAGGACTTTAATTAGTACATGCCATCACTTTGAGAGTTCTGCCGCTTAATTCTGAACTTGTGGGAAGCAGAGAAACTATAGATGCTCAGTATTAATTGAAAGGCACGTGGCACAGATTTAGATGCATGCTTTAAGAGTGTGTGTGTGTGTGTGTGTGTGTGTGTAAAAGTTGCTCAGTGGTGAGGTGAAAACACTGTTGCACACTCAGGGATGCTCTGGGTTAATCCCGTGTTGAGCAGGGGGTTGGACTAGATGGCCTCTATGACCCCTTCCATCTCTGTGATTCTATGATTCTATGAAATATGCCGTCTGAGAAGCTACCTGGTTTTCATAGAGCCTGGTCAGTTCCAAGCATCAGTGTCTTTGGTTATGTGTCTTCTGTTCTGTATAGCAATATTGATAGGAAAATGGGGGGGGGGGGGTTCTTGCAACGGATTAATGAAACCAACTTGTATCTGAAAGCAGACCTCTGCAAACAAATAGTTGTTCTGAAGGCTGGCTCAATATGAACCTACTCATCTTTATCAGTGCTTAAAATAGATTTTATGCAGTCAGTTGTACCTAGCATTAATCATCTCATGACCTGATCTTTCTTTCTCTTTCTGTTGGTCTTTCTTTTTTTCTTCTCTGTCTTTCTGCATTTCTCCAAAGATTGACTTGGGTGTGCATGAAGTAAGTGCAAGCCCACTCCACAATAGAGATGTTGAAGGAAAACAACAGATATGATTATCTACAAAAACAAAACTAGGTAAAGCAGCATCTGAAATCAGCTACATTTATAACAAAATAATCTTTATAACAAGACTTGCACTTACTTCATGCCTTGTTATAAAGATTCCTATTTTTGGAGAGACACGGCCTGTCATTTTTGCTAGTGTGGGGTCCATCTCACAATATAGGAAGTATGATTTTGATTAGATCCTGCTAAAAGGAAATGAAAGCTGCTATTCTCTCAGAGTCTATCATATTATTTCTGTATTATAGCAAAAGCTGCATTAATGGTTATTCAGTTCTGTCACAGGAAAGAAAAGGGCATTAAATAGTCTTTGAAGAAGAGCTTTAAAAATTACACAAAGGATTTTCTTCATTTGCACAAGTATTAATCATCCTTTCTGTTGGGTACAAGATTTGGACAAAGTAGTAGAATATTTGTATTCCCTGTTTAGGAACATTTACAATGAAAGAGAAATTCTTTTATCAGCATAATAATCAATACCATTTTACTGGTCAAATGTTTCTCCAGCATAAGAAATTATCTTGTCATATACAGTAGGTTTGATATAGATTTCTTCCTGCAGAAATATATTATACTTTTGTCCCACTGAAGTGTATGTATATGCACTCCCATAATGGTATTCCTTTTAATACCATTTTACAGTTCCATCATTACTGTGGAAATCAAGAAACACTTTAGAGGAAACATTTTTTTAACTTAGCCTAATTCCCATGATTTTTACAACAGTGTTACTAGCCGTATGAAACTATAAAAACTGAAACAGTGATGTCAGAGCCCAAAGTGTGGAATCTCTATCTAGAGGCGTTTATCATCTCATAAAAAGGCATGAGCAGAAACATCAGAGAAACAGCTTTCCTGGAAACAGAGCCAATGGTGAGCGGTTGCTATGACTGCCGTGCTTCGAGGAACATATGGCCTTTTAGGAATCACTGGAGACATTCCCGCTGCGCTCCACTAATAAACAGTTGCTACAGTATGAGCATAACCTCAAGCAGCCAGCTGCTTTTGCGCTCATGGGCCTTTGCTTATGGAAATGCTGCCTTAGCTAGATATAAAAAGCACAAAAATAGTCATAAGGATTTTTTCCCCCCAGGCATAACTATTTTTATGGATCTAAATTTACTAGACGAGTTTCATTCTCGACTCTGTTTCTAGCAATACTCTTATACCAGACAAACCTTAGGGAGCCTCTGCATTGCCACGAAATAATTGCTTTTTTTTTTTGTACCGTGCAGCTCCCTGAAGCAACATTTAGGACTTAAAGATGCCACTGTGCTGGACGTAGGAACAGAGTTTTGCTGCTTCTGGAGACCATTTCTCTAGCAGCTGGAAAGCTTTTAGGTCTCTGGAACTAATGCCTGATGTTGCACTTGTGCTTTCTTTTTATTTATGTATTTTGCAGCATGGCTGCAAGGCCTGTGTACCCTTCTCTTCCACTCCATAGTCATCCATGTGTTTATATTTGGTGCTGAAAGAGAAGGTCCAGAAAAGGCTGTGATAACTGTTTTAAAAGCAGCTGCCTTCTTCTTCTAAAGCACACTTTGGAGTCTCAATATACAATTTGCTCTGAATGGTGCAGCCATCTGCTTTGTTTTGATTGTACTTGTCAAAAAAAGGGGGGAGGGGGGAGCACTGCTGTGCCTCAGCATTCTTTTGATGCTGAATAGGAAGTTGTACTTTGATTATAGCTATTGTACTGCCGTTGATGGGGACTGTGGACATGATACTGGAGCATACCCTTCACAATGAGGTTGGGTTTCTTTCTTTTTTTAAGAGCTATTTTTTCAGCAGTCATACTCAGTTATAATTGGCACTTAATGAATGGTATTTATCTCCCATTTTGACACCATTTCCAAGACAACAGAAGGGAAGGACCAGCTCCAGATTACTGAATCTTAAAATCTAGATGAAATCTTAAATTACCGATTTCATACTTCGTATTAGTTATTAATCTTCAGAAAGATTTGCTGTTTCTGAGGTTGGTGAGAGTGATAGCAGTGGAACTTCATTAGGCTGTCTGCACATTCTCTTGGAGGCCTCCAGGATTTATTTTCTTCATTCTGGAGATCTTAAATTGCAAGTGAGGATGGAGCATTTTGGTGTAGAGTTGCCAGGTCAATCTTCGCTGGGAGCGGGGGGCTCCCGGCCGGCATCTGGTGCATGCGCCATAGAGTTTTCCCTCTATATTATAGAGTTTTCCCTCGGATGGCCGTGGCCCGCCCCCAGCGTGCCCGGCGTGGTCGCGTCACTTCCGGGTGACGCGCACATCAGGGAGGAGTTCCCCCTGGGGCCTGATCCGGCGGCGGCGGGGAACGGGCCTCTGGGGCGGGGGTTTCCCCGCCCCCCGGGTGACTTGGGAAGCCTATTTTGGTGGTTGCTTGACAATTGACAAATGAGCATCTCTGCCACCACATATCAGAAGAAGGAGGAAAAGTACATCAGATAACTGAAAAACAACCACCAAATGCTTCATAGGGCCTCCATGTGCAGAGGCACAAAAATGACCCCTTTTTGCAGGGTTGGGAAAGAATTTCATGGACGCTAGATTTCCCCCCATGCTAATTCAGGTACCTGATTTCTTTAGAGCCATATGATAGGATTTGTTGGTAAGATGACCCTGGTGATAGCCAGTGTTCTCTAAACTTTCCCTTTCTTCTGGTAGTAAAAGCTTCAGTTTGTAATAAATGTGCTATCATTTTTCATATTAATATATTTGTACTTTTTTCCCCCTAGGGGATGAAACACCTGGAATTTCGCAACGCCTTTTGAAGAATCTACCAACTGATCAGCAGTTGAGCAAACTTGCTAGAAGACTTGGGCCTGAATGGGAACACATTGTATTGCATTTAGGCTTGACACACAATGACATTTACTGTTGTAAAGCCAATCATCCATACAATGTCCAGTCACAGATTGTGAGTGCGTTTATTTCATGGAGACAACGTTTTGGGGACAGAGCTACTATTGAAAGTCTATATGCTGCTTTGAAAGTGGGAGAAGTTGACTCTTCTGTGATCCAAGAGATGATTCAGTGACCTTGGATCCCATCAAGGTTCTACATTCCGATTTCCAGCATGAAATTAGTAATGAAAATAAATCCAGCAAATTCATGGAACCGTTTATCAGGTTAAAATGGTGGGGGGCAACCAGATGTCCTTCAGTTTCTTAAAAATTTGAATATTCAGTTCCCTATGCTTGCAGTACTGTAGATACACAGGAGTAAGTTCTGCTGTGACCAGAAGGAGAGTTTTTCCAATGGTGATGCCTGATTTATAAAATGCTGTCTTCAGTGATGTGTTGCTATTACTCTCTTTTCAGTGCCACATTAAAAACTGTCAAATGCTTGATTTTTTTGCTACTGCGTGTATTTTTTTGGTTGATGTTTGATCCACATGTTTCTGCTTCGGTTTCCTGTTGGATAATATTATAAAATCTACAAACATAGATTCTGTCAGATTCTGCTGACATTTGGTAGGTGTGAATGTTTGAAGATTCAGGAACTGATGGGTAACATGAAACTTCTGGTTTCTGTAACACTTTTGATGTAGTCAGCAGTTGCAGACTTTAGAAGCAACACACACATATAATTACAGCTTTTTTATGTCTTGGGGAGTAGGACATAGCTGTGTTAGCCTGTTACAGCAAAACTAAAATTAGTGTGGCACCTTTAAAAAGTGTGAACAAATGCTATGCTAAAATAAACATATGTTACTCTTTAAGGTGCCACTAGACTCTGGTTTATTTTTGACAGACTGGTTTGTTCTTGAATTATAAAGAACAAGTAGAGCCAGCACGGTGTTCTGGCCAGTGTGTTTGGCTAGAATAAGAACCTATGTTTGTTACAGTAAAATAAAAATCCATTTGGCACCTTAAAGGCTAAGATTTATTTCAATATGAGCTTTTTAGTCACTGCTCATTTCCTTAGATATGTTGTTAGTCTTTTGTTTGAGGATAGGAAGACCTGGGTTCACATCACCACTCAGCCACAAATATTACTGGCTGAGTTTCAGCTAGTCATGATTTCTCAGCTTAATATTCTTAAAGGGATATTTTAATTTTGAAGCTATTTTAGTTTGTTCTCATAACAGGAAATGTTGATTACAAGGATCACTGCTTTTTAGCACTGTTCACAAGTATTTTTAAAAAGACATTAAATTTCAAAGTGGGCCGGCAGTGGAACAAGCTGCGGGGGAAACTATAATCTTATTAGATTCTCTGCCTTAGGCTGGAAGGGTGTTATGTATGGATACTTAGTGGAATCCACTTCAGATTGTTTGAATATTAGAGAAGGCAAAGAAAGCTTATCTAGTAACTGCCATCAGTCCTTTTTCTGAGGGAATATAATTTTGTTTTCCATCCTGAATTGGGAAGAGAACTTATTTCCTTTTTCTTTTTTTTAAAAGATTTTTATTGCATTTTCTAAACTAAACCTCTATGGGGTCGGGGGAAGGGAACGACCTAAAACTACGAGTAACAAGAGATCATTAATACACATTTTGAATTAATTGATGTTTCCCTAATATCAAAACGGTAATACGTGAGAGTTATTGCAATAAAATTGTAGAGAATAAAGCGAGCATTCAAAAACAGATTTTACTAAAGTGTATGTTTCTTAGTTTAAAGTTATTGATTAATAATAGGTATCAGTCAGTTACATTATTATACTTATTTTCTTCCTTTATGTTTCATTTTAAACTTCCTCTTATTTTTAGAAGGCTTAGGAGCCATAGCCCCTAATTCTGCTTCAGAGTCTAAGGATTCAGCCGATGAGGAGTTCTTAGAACCTTCTTCATCTTTGTCTTCTTCTTTTTCTGCATCTTTATTGTCCTCCAGTTTCTCAGGTCCATCTTTATCTTGTTGTTGCTCAATAATTTTTTTTGCTTTAAGAACAGAGTCAATATTTTCTTTCTTCCTGTTGAAGTTGAAAATAATGCCTTCCAGTGTAATCCATCTGTAAGGGGTGTTATGCTTTTGCAAAAACAATGCCAAGTCTCTGTATTGTCTTCTTCTTTTTCTGATCTCAAATGCAATGTCTTTTAAGGTTTTGACTTGTTCTCCTTGGATTTTCAAAACATTTCTGCTTGTCGCTTTCAGAATCAAGTCTCTTGTTGACCTTTTTGAGAATTTGACAAATATTTCCCCGGGAAGCTTATTTTTCTTTATATATTCTGAATATGTATGATATATCATATCCATGTCGCTATGTAACACTTCCGCTGTTAAGCCTACCACGGGCGCCAGTTCCTTACTTAAAATCTCCTTCAGGTCCTCCTCTTTCTGCTCCAAAATGTTCTGAAATCTCAGGACGTATGCTGATTTTTCCATTTGGAGAAGTAACAGTTGATGATTCTCAAAGATTTTATCCTTTTCCACCACCTCCAATCTTTGTCCAAACTCCTTGGACTTAAGATCAACTTTCTTCAGCTTCTTGGTTATCTTCTCTGTTTTTGCTGAAGTTTCTTGAAGTTCCTTGAGCAACGTGTCAAATTTCTGGTTAAGCATGGTCATCTGGTCCACTAGAGGGCGCAAGGCTGCACCAATCATTTTGGAGAAGTCTATAGTTGCTTCCGGTTTAAAAGCCGGAGACGATGTGCTAGCTGCTCATGTAAGTTTCGCTTTCGCTGCCATTTTCTCCAAGCGCTGCTTCATTGTTTATAGTTAGTAAGAAGTTTTGAAAAGTCTCTTAAAGTCTGAAAATATCGCTTTTAACTCAGTTCTTTGGGCGTGGGGATTTCCCCCCCCCTTCCGCTTATTTGGGGCTTGGGGCAGCTTTACTCCCGACAATCAGATGGCAGCTCACTAAATGGTAAGTTTACTCCCATTCTTACTTGCGTTTGTTTAAGCAGTAGGGAAGATCGGTCTTGGCGGATCTCTTGCACGCTCGGTCCAGTGTGCATCTCTAGGTGCCATTGCTGGCTCCATGCCACAAGGACCTATTGGGGCAATGAGGCGCCTCAGTCCCTCAGCATTCCGCCTTGGGAGAGGCACCTCTCGCACCCCAGGCTGCAATCCTCCTACAAAGGGTTGCGGGGGTCCAAGATCAACTCGGACCCCTCCCCATCGGCACGTTTGCGGGCCGCTCGCATCAGAGCAACAATGGAGCGCACCCACTTGCAAGTCTCCAAAAACCAGAAACTCGGGAAGAGAACTTATTTCCTGATTCATTTGTTAACTGCAGCAGTTGAGGAGCTGCTTCCCAATGGCTTCTTCCAACACTACTCCAATAATATTTAGGAGGTATTGCATGGTGGGGTGGGCAGAGTGAATGACATTTATTAATTGCTTTTACATGAAGCTGGTACTCAGAGCAGTCTACAAGTATGCCCCATTGACTATAAAATTACATACAAACCCCAACGTTACATATACAGCCGCTCTTGGAGGTTATGAACAGCATATTCCAGTCTATTGATTTCAATGGACTAAGGGCCAGATGAGACGTGATGGCATCTCCTCCTCCTCCCTCCCCCATCCGTGATCGCATAGGATTGCACTTCGGTATGGCTACTCCTCTGGAATCTGTAAGTGTGGTGAGCTAACGTAGCCATTTAAGTATGTCTACCAGTTCAAATCTCAGCTGAGCAGTAACCTCACATGGTAGCTTTACAAGCCATTCTTGTTGTCCCTTATCTCTAATATGAAGATGAAGCCCATTTATCTTACTCATTTGTTCTCAATATTACAGACATACTGTATGTATTTATGGATAGGATAGGTCTAAGATTTAATATTACTACTTCTGTTCTTAACATTGTTATATTTCTTTCAGGTGGCATCTGGCTTTGGTATCTGCATACTCTGAGCCAGGGCAGCTGCCAGGGCCCAGGGCTACTGTTGGGGCCCACTGCCACTGATCCTCACCTTTCCACCTCCCCTGCCACCTTCATGTTCTTCCCCATCTGTGAACAGTGGCGCTGCTCCTGGTGGTCATGGCAGCAACACTCCCAGCTGCCTGCACCAATCAGTGCAGTTGGTGAAAGGGTGTGCAGGTGGTGCAGGTAACTGAGCATGGGCGATGGGAGGGCTTGCAAGCAGAGGGATTCGCAGGCAGATGGGGATAATGCAGGTGGGGGAGACATCAGAGGGGCAGATGGTAGTGGGCAGATAGGGGCCCCTGGGTACTGTCTACCCCCCCCCAAAAAAAAAACAACCCTGGAACTGGCCCTGTATAGGATAGATTATTTTATCCTCCCACTAACCCGGTGACAATAAAATAGGGACCAATCCTGATACTGGGAGAACAGTTCTTTTTTGGCATGTAAATGCTTTTTGTTGTTGTTCAGTCACACAGTCGAGTCCGACTCTTTACAACCCCATGGACCACATCACGCCAGGCCCTCCTGTCTTCCGTCGTGCTCCGGAGTTTGCTTAATTTCACGTTCATTGCATCGATAACACGGTCTAACCATCTCATCCTTTGCCGTCCCATTCTTCTTTGACCTTCAATCTTTTCCAGCATCAGGGTCTTCTCCAGTGAGTGCTCCCTTCTCATTTGGTGGCCAAAGTATTTGAGCTTCACCTTCAGTATCTGGCCTTCCAGGGAACAGTCAGGGTTGATTTATTGTAGGATTGACTGATTTGATCTCCTTGCAGTCCAAGGGACTCTCAAGAGTCTTCTCCAGCACCATAATTTGAAAGCATCTATTCTTCGGCGCTCGGCCTTCCTTATAGTCCAACTCTCGCAGCCATATATTACTACTGGGAATACCATTGTTTTGACCATGCGGACTTTTGTTGGCAGGGTGATGTCTCTACTTTTTATTATGCTGTCTAGGTTTGCCATCGCTTTCCTCCCAAGGAGCAGGCATCTTTTAATTTCATGGTTGCAGTCCCCATATGCAGTGATCTTAGATCCCAGGAATATGAAGTCTGTCACTGCTTCCATGACTTTCCCTTCTATTTGCCGGATGCCATGATCTTAGTTTTTTTGAAGTTGAGTTTCAAGCCAACTTTTGCGTTCTCCTCTTTCACTCAAGAGGCTCTTGTGGTCCTCTTCACTTTCTGCCATTAGAGTGGTATCGTCTGCATATCTGAAGTTGTTGATGTTTTTCCCAGCAATCTTAATTCCAGTTTGTGATTCATCCAGGCCAGCATTTTGCATGATGTACTCTGCATATAAATTAAATAAGCAGGGTGACAGTATACATCCTTGTCATACTCCTTTTCCTATGCTAAACCAATCAGTTGTTCCATATCCGGTTCTAACTGTCGCTTCTTGACCCTTATACAGGTTTCTCAAGAGACATGTGAGGTGGTCTGGTACTCACATCTCTTTAAGGACTTGCCATAGTTTGTTGTGATCCACACAATCAAAAGCT